CTCTCTGATTCTTCTCTGTTACTTTCTTGCATTGTAGAAGATGGTTGCCTTTGGTAAAAAGCTCAAGGAACGGAGCATTCAAGAATGGCAAGGGTAGTAATGTTTCCATCTACTTCTTTTTCGTGAGATTTTGTCGGTCTTAATGTGAAATCATGATCCCCTTGTAGATATTACATCAATTACAAGTTGATGAAGAAGAAAGTGAAGCAATATGTTCGTCAATTACAAGGAGGAAATCAAGAGCGTCGCAATGTTCTTAAAGATTTCTCGAGGATGCTCGATAATCAGGTTTGAGATCATTCAATCAACAAATATTCATTTTGTTTTATGAAACTTTCTAAAAGCTAATTTCGATATGAATGCGTACTCAGATCGAGAAGATCGCTCTTTTCATGCTGGAGCAACAAGGATTGCTTGCAAGTAGGCTACAGAAACTAAGGGAATCGCGCGATGCTCTCCAAGAGGAGCCGGACATTTCTCACGTAGCTAATCTAAAAGAAGAGTATAGAGCTGTTGGACAAGATCTTCTCAAGCTTCTGTTTTTCATCGAGATGAATGCTATTGGTATCCGTAAGATACTGAAGAAATTCGATAAACGGTTTGGTTTTAGATTCACAAACTATTATGTCAAGACTCGAGCTAACCATCCTTACTCTGAACTTCAGCAAGTCTTTAGACATGTGGTAAGTAAAAGTCTCAGCCTAATTGTAACCATCCTTACTCTGATCAACATTAACGTCGAATCATAATGTTGGTGTATAGGGCCTTGGAGCTGTTGTTGGAGCCGTATCTCGTAACCTTCATGAGCTTCAGAATAGTCATGGAAGCTACTTATCGATTTATGATCAGCCTGTTCTTCCTCTTCATGATCCTGTAGTGGACTCAATTAGAGCTGCAGTGGATAGGCTAACACGTTCAACAAACTTCTTAAACTTCATGGCGCAGCACGCGCTTATAATTCAAGAAGAGTTACCGAGTCCTCAAGACGAGGAAGCGGATGAAGAAGACGGGAGATATCACTTCATGTCTCTCTTGTTGAATTTGGTCAACACATTTCTCTATATGGTTAATACTTATATCATTGTCCCTACAGCTGATGACTATTCCATGAGTCTCGGTGCAGCAGCAACGGTCTGCGGTGTTGTTATTGGTGCTATGGCTGTGGCTCAACTATTCTCTTCGGTTTACTTCAGCGCTTGGTCTAATAAATCTTACTTCAAACCGCTCATATTTAGTAGCATTGTCCTCTTCATTGGGAACTTGTTATATGCTTTAGCTTTCGACTTCAATTCTATAGCGGTTCTCTTGATTGGCCGGCTTTTCTGCGGGTAAAGTCCTTCTAGACTCGTAGATTTAACCAATCTCTTAAAGAAATCGATTACTTTGATTCTTAACCGTATTGTATTTTTTCAGTTTGGGGTCGGCTAGAGCAGTGAACCGGAGATATATAAGCGACTGTGTACCGTTAAAGATCCGAATGCAGGCTTCAGCTGGTTTTGTTAGTGCAAGTGCTCTAGGAATGGCGTGTGGTCCTGCGCTTGCCGGTCTATTACAAACAAGATTCGAGATCTGTAACCTTACATTTAACCAAGATACATTGCCTGGTTGGGTTATGGCAGTTGCTTGGCTTTTCTACTTAGTCTGGTTAGCTATTTCCTTTCGGGAGCCTGCGCGTGAGCCTGAGGAGATTCATAATACTTCAGAGGAGTCTCATAATAACTCCGGTATGTCTAGTTCCAAAATCTCTTTCTTTGGTAGATGAATAGAAGTTATCGGTATCTGATTGTAGCGGTTTTGGCCTGGTGTGTGAGTGATTAGAAGCTGTTGAAGATGGGAATCTGGAGAAAGGTTTGCAACAAAGATTGCTGCTTACATCAGAAGAGATCGAAGAACAAGTTGAAGATGACTGCGATGGAAGCGAAAAAGCGTCTCAAGATTCACGTACACCTGCAAACTCCATTGTAGCTGCTTACAGACTACTCACACCTTCAGTTAAGGTAAAAACAAAAACCAAAATTTAACTTCAGAGAAGCTGAAAATGTAAATTGTGCAAATTTTGAATAATCGATTTGATTGGTTTTCAGGTTCAACTGTTGATATACTTCATGCTTAAGTATGCAATGGAGATTCTTCTCTCTGAATCTAGTGTCATTACCACTTACTATTTCGGTTGGTCCACGAGCTCGGTTGCGATCTTCTTGGCTTGTCTCGGTCTCACGGTTCTTCCTGTAAACCTTGTTGTTGGAAGCTATATAAGCAACATGTTCGAAGACCGGTAATTATCTCTCCAAAGCACTGATTTCTTCTACTTCAAGTTTCCTTTAAAGTCGTAAACTTTTGTTTGTCTCAGGCAAATTTTGTTGGTGTCAGAGATTATGGTCTGTGTAGGAATACTTCTCAGCTTCCATGTGGTTGTTCCATACACTGTACCACAATACGTTTGCTCAGGACTCATTATGTTTGTTTCGGCAGAAGTTCTTGAAGGTAAAAATGATTTATAACACTCCCAAAAAACTTCTCTTTTAGCTCAATTTAGGCTTTGTTTTTTGGCTTATTTTGGGTTTTTTTCAGGTGTTAATTTATCGTTGCTTTCGAGGGTTATGTCGTCGAGGCTATCGAGAGGGACTTATAACGGAGGACTGCTTTCGACGGAGGCAGGCACGATCGCACGAGTGATTGCGGACGTGACGATTACCGTCGCCGGTTACTTTGGAAGGAGTATGCTTTTGAATGTCACTCTGCTTCCTTCTCTGGTCATTTGTGTTCTCTCTATCGTAGCTACTTGTTTTACTTATAACTCTTTGTATTAGACCATCATTATTGATGATTTTTTTGTGAGTATCATTAGATATAAAATTATTAAAACACATCTTCTTTTTTCCTTTTACTCAACTTTATACCTTCTCTTTCATCTTTTTATTCAACTTTTATTAATTTTATATTTAAACACACCCCAACTAAAGTTTAAACTCTCCCCAAAAGTATCAACCCATTGATACAAAGACATTCTCTCTTCAAAAGTATCAACTCATCTCCTCTTTTTATTCAAATTTTATTAATTTTATATTTCAATATACTCTATTATTTCAACCAAAAACACTCTCTTTCTTCATTTTACTCAAATTTTAATAATTTTATATCTAATGATACCCACCAAAAATCATCAATAATGATGCTCTTAGTAGTACTCTTTACAAATTTTACCCGTACAAACCAAATCGGTGCTTTAATTAATACCTCCGAAATCAAATTTTATTTAATACCTTTCATTTCCTTCGTACATGGTTTTTTGAAAATCAATATACAATATGTGGATTTGAATTCGGATGGTAACACACTAATTACATAAGCACAAATGATCAAATATAAGTTTTTCTGTATCATGATATAGTATTGTGCAAGTATCTTTTAGAAGAAAATTAACAAAGTTATTTGTTGTTTTTCTACAAGTAAAACCTAATTTTTTAGTATTTGTTTGCCGGAAGAAATTGAGAAAGGAAAATTGGCGAGTTCACGAAGTAGATATCGTTATGCATTATTAAGCTATAATATTTAGGCAATACTAATATGCATTAAAATGAAAGATAGAACCAAAAAGTAGATGTCAATTATAAAATAAAAGATTTTTTTGGTGAATAACCAAAAAAAAAATAAAAATTAAGAAAAATAGGATATGTGACAAATTGTAGGCCACTAGATTTGAGATTTTGGGTTATTTTTTAAATTATAATTTTTTTATTGTATTTTTGGCAAATTATTCTAAATTAAATAGCTACTTTGACTTAAAACTTCAAAGGCACCCATCAAACACCATTAGCCTGCGCTTTAGGCAAACTCTTATACAAATCGGTCACGTGACAAGACATTATTGCATTATTCACCTTTTTCTCCTCTTTCAATCGGTCATAATTAAATTATATTTTGTCTTTGCTATTTCATAACATCAACTATTTCAATAGGTTGGCGTTTGTGCTTTTTACAAGAAATCTCATTTCGAAATGTAAAAAAAAATGGTTATTCAGAAAATTCTTTGTATTTCTACTATTGTAGCTTGTTGTTTTCTGTTTATTTTGTTGTGATTATGGTGGATGCCTCACGGGATATATAGTAACGCCAAAAATATATAAATCATTATAAACTTGTGATATGGTTCGTTGAAAAGGAAAGTCGCCACTAGCCATTGTTCCTTGATTTCTTTTTCACTTTTTGTTATCATATTTTTCTATAGATATAGTACTTTATATTCTCCACATAATTTTGTCTCATTAATCATAATTCGCAGTCTCCATACGTCCATACATATATGTATAACAAGAAGGATATAGTTTTAGCAAAAAAAAGAAAAGGATATACTTGTTTAACAAGAATAGGGTATAGATTTTCACAAAACTATAATATTTCTTTTTGGTCGAATCAATCTATAGTAATGTTGTTTTTATACACGTTTAGTTCAGTCTATCCAAAAATATCTAGCAATTCCTATGTTATTGACATATAATTCACTTTTATTTCTATGAAGATGATAGAATGATTTTGATGATATGATATTTATAGGCATATTATATCACTACACTCTCGGGCTAAAAGAAGAAACATACACCACTACCACTACACAAAAATGACCACTCTCTTCTACTTATGAAAATATGAAATCAAAAGTTTCAAGTTTTGTTATCCGAATAAGTTAGTTTAGTTGAATTTTTTTGTTTTTTTTATCAACAAACATTAATTTGTAAAAGCGTAAATTGAGAATTTCATAAAGTTGATGCCCTCTATTATACCATCAAATTATCTGATATGTGACATAGATGTGATAGATTTGTTAACTATATCGTAAGATATATTTCTCCTACCGATATATATATAGTTGCAAACGCTATGTAATACAAAATCTATCAAAAGCAATAATATATGCAGTTTCTTGTTCCACCCAACGTGGACACACACATGGTAGTGGAGGCAGGAGTGGAGTGGATGATGTGTATATGAACACGTAATATATGCATAAACGAACACACATGCATTACATGTTTGATTGCGATAAGTGTAAAGACATTAATGATTAAAGTGTAATGTAAACACGAGAGATTGACCAAGTCCAAACCGCGTCGTCCTCAAGGTTCTACTTTCTACATGCATGAAAATGCCATCCACTCTCTCGTCCTGATTAATTACAAACCAAAAAGGAACTAAACTTTGAGCATTGATTGATGTAGAAATTATTAGTAAATAAAAACTTCAAACATTTTTTTGAATAATCCATTTTTAAAAGCATACATTCTGTCGGTTTGGACCGGATACTAATAAAATAACAACATTAGCTAATACAATTTCTGGTACCACTCAATATATCTAAACATATATCAAGTGGTTCTTGGTCTAGTGATTTATTATTCGTAAAATATAGTAGAAGTCTCTAGTTCTAGTTCAAGTCCACTTGGGAAGAGAGGTATTTCCAAAAAAAGGAGACTAAAGACTGATTCCAGACCCACATTACTAAGATTTCGGTCTGAATTTCGACGTTTTCAAATTAAAAACAAAAACAAAAAGGGTTTAGATGTTCAACGTTTTCTAACCATTTATTTTAACCGTTCATTTTAATTGATTGTTTAATCTTTTTCGTTCGATTGGTAATAAACAAGCGGTTGAACAATATTAGTTTCTCAACATAAGTGAAAAAAATTATGTGTCAGTCAATGCATATTTTAAGGGTTGCATCATTTAAATTAATCAATCAAAATATTCTAATTAATTCTATATGCCATGTTGAAAATATCTACATATTTTACATTAGTTTTTTTTAATATTAACTCACAAATACATATGTTACTAATTTAAATTGAACTAAAATATAATATTTTAATATTTAAACGTTATATAACATAATATTTTAACGATGAATTATTTACCGATGTTAATTACTTTATAAAAATTGTATTTATGTCCATTTGGATATCATATGTGATTGATCATACAATTATTTTTTTTTATATATCCTTTAATTGTATTTATATTACTCTAATTAAAGTTGCGTTTTTGTTATAAACGTACGACTTAACAAATCAAACATTAATGGTTGAAGAAAATCA